TATATATATATATATATATCTAAGAAAAGGAATTTTTTTCAATGGGTGTGGTTGAGATTCATTGAAAACATATAGATGAGTCAAAATACAAAATTTGAGGAAGACTAGATGTGATTTGGACTGATTTGGTAGTAAAATTCGTAGTTAAAATCGAGTTCAAAAAATTCTTCTGCAACACATGTATACATGCGATACACATTTGATACATATGTGATACACCTATTGTCTTTTTCATTTCATCTTCTACTTCGAATTTTCAATTTAAACCACCTCAAAACTCCACCAAATCATCTCAAAATTGAAATTCAAGCTCCTTAAGATTAACACAATCTATTCTAACACTCACTAAAAGGACAACAAAAATTTAACTCACTCTTATTTACATTTTCGAAGCAATTCACACATAGTTCGATTATTTTAATTTGAAAAATAACTTTTTGATTTGATGTTATAATGGGTATAAAATACACATGTTATATATTCAAGGTAAGCTTAACCCTAAAACATTACACATGCCATTTGATATCTTAAGAATTTATGTTCATATAATTAAATTACTTAATTCCGCAGAACCCGAATAATTATCTAACTTTAATTATCGCCATATTGTGCATTAGCACTTATCGCAGAAATTTATATGTAATTAAGTTATAAATAATCTAATCATATAACTATTTTTATATATTATCAAAACCATTGCATGCCAAGTCCGTTTGTCTTCTGTAGTCTTCGGTCAAAGTTGGGATCCCAATTGTTGGAATCAACAAGTGGCCTTAACCATTCCAATGCTCTTTCCATGGCTAAACTTTCTTCTGAATGAATTCTTTGCAATCTGAATACTGAAAAAAGGCAGTAACTTGGGCCCAAAATGGTTTCTGCCAAATGGCTTATAATGTCTGCCTTTATTAAGCCAAACCAATTTGGGGTATTCAATAATCAGCACAAAATCTTTGTCAGTGGCATCTTATGGCCAGCCTCTGTAACCTACAGAATAGTAGGCTGGGGCTAAATGTCGACCGAAGACTACAGAAGACAAACGAACTTGGCATGCAATGGTTTTGATAATATATAAAAATAGTTATATGATTAGATTATATAAGCTTATCCGAATTAGCCAAACACATATAAAAATTGAAAACCCAAAGAAATAAGGTTCTTTTTGGTTTGCTACCTCATTCATGAAATTTTCTTTTATATATATATATATATATATAGATATATATATATATATATATATATATATACAAGATTCCAAAAATCTAAGAAAAGGGATTTTGTTTCAATGGGTGTGGTTAAGGCTGTATGGTGGGCCGGGCCCGGGCCTAAATGGGCTAAACGGGCCTGGGCTTAGCGGTCCCGGTCTCTGGCGGTCCCGGGCTTCACGGTCCCGGTCTTCGTGGGCTCAACGGGTAGGACCAGCCCGTGACGGGCCTAAGCCCATATGGTACTGGGCTAAATGGGCCGGGCTNAACGGTGTTAGCAATAAACTTACCTGTGTGACGTGAATTAATTATCCTATAAGCAATAATGCGTTTTTGCATTATCCACTCCTCGTCTATCCAATGACTTGTAACAGTTAGATAATCACAGTCATTATTACTTCTACCAATATCAGTAGTAATAGAAATCCGATTAGTTATATGAGTAAATAAATACCGCAAATATTGTTCATATTCATGTTTATATTTATAAATATCGCTCTTAACTGTTGCGCGAGGCCAACCTTTATAAGTAGGATTAAAAATTTTTCTAATATAATGCACAAAATTAGGGTTAGAAGGAAAAGTATATGGTAAGCACATAACGGTAACCATCTTTGCTAATTCTTCATGATCTTTATTAGGATCGTAATATAAAATACCACCGGTCACAGTGTTAATTCCTGGTTGAACTAGATTTGAACCTGTACTAGGGTTAACCGCAGTATCTACACTTGTCCCCTCTTGCTGCGCTTTCATTTGTAAATATTTAACTTTATCTCTAGGGTGTGTTTGTATGTGCCTAGCCAAACTACCCGTACCGCTACGGTCTCCAGTATATTTATGCGCCAACAATTTCCCACAAGTTTTACACCTAGCCTTATTTTGTTCTCTTACTTGAGTAAAAAAATTCCTAACTAATGATGTTTCTAGGCGTTTAGAAGGTTGTCTATTAAAAGTAGGGGTTTCTACAGGTGGGTCGGGCGGGGCATCAGTTGGGTTATTAACAGGACTAGTAGGTGAATCATCTAAATCCGGTTGGGTTTCATCTACATCCTCATTTTCCTCATCATTTTCTAAGATAGTTTGATTAGGATAAAGAGCATTCATAACTTTTCTTCATTTAATTGTTCACCTTGTGCAACATTATGGCAAAATTCACTATCGGAAAATTGAAAACAAGGGTTATCACTATCAAGAATAATAGGAGCAGCAGGACGGGTAATAGGTCTGGGTCGGGGAGCCGGGGGAAGGGTAGTAGGTTGGAGACTACTTTCACCAATTTTAGCTTTTCCCTTACCACCAAACATTTTTTTCAAAGAAAAAGCCATATTAATTACAATTATGCAAACTAAACACACAAAAATATATTCTTAAAACTTAAGAGTTGGAACGAGTTTACCGAATTGCTGAACAACTTCTTGAAAATTGAAAATCGTTGAAGACTTGAAGACTTGAATACTTCAATTCACCAACTTCACAATTTTTCACAAAATTGCAATAATAAAATAAGCAATTATAGAAGAGAAATTAGATATAGATTGAGAGAGATTGAGATAGATTGATGAATTGGTGAGTAAAAATGAAAGAATGAGGGGGTATTTATAGTTGAGAATTGGAAAAAGTATAATTATATAAAGTTTGGGGTTAAAATAAAGTTTGGGGGCCAAATGGCTATTTTTTAAAGTTCCAAACGGTTGAAAATTAAAGGCCAACGGCTAGATTTTAAAATCTGACCGTTGGTCTTTTAAAAAAAAAAAAATTTTTTTTTAGAAAAGAGTCGTTGGAGCCCGTTAGGACCGTTAGGCCCGGTTGAACCGGCCCAGGACCGCTTGCCGGTCCCGGGCTTAGCGGTCCCGATCTCGTGGGCCTCACGCAAGGGACCAGTCCGCCACGGGCTTTCTACACCATCAGGGACCGGCCCGCCGGGACCGTTTAGCCCGTTAAGACCGCGGGCCCGGTCCGGTCTCGGTCCCAGACCGGCCCACAATACAGCACTAGGTGTGGTTGAGATTCATTGAAAACATATAGATGGGTCAAAATACAAAATTTGAGGAAGACTAGATGTGATTTGGTATTAAAATTCGTAGTTAAAATCGAGTTCAAAAAATTCTTCTGCAACACATGTATCAAACTTGTATCACGCGTATATAAGGGAGTTTTTCCACTTCAAGTGACATTATTCGAAATGAAATTATTTTATTTATCAGGGTCGCCACTTGGAATATTTTAATTGGTGTCCCAAGTCACCGGTTTATTTTAAATCCCAAATCGAGGAAGTTGATTTTTTAAAGTATGCGAACCAGAAATTCTAGATAAGGAATTCTGTTAACCCGGGAGAAGGTGTTAGGCATTCCCGGGTTCCGTGGTTCTAGCACGGTCGCTTAGTGATTATTACTTGGCTTAATTGTTTAACTACTCATTTTTTAGGACCTACGTGCATTTACCTTTTTAACCGCTTTTAATCACTTGATTTATTCGTAATTAAAGAGTTGAGTTACGCGTACGTAAGGCTGTATGTGGTCCCGGGCCTAAATGGGCTAAACGGACCTGGGCTTAGCGGTCCCGGGCTCTGGCGGTCCCGGGCTTC